ACTGAATTAAGATTTGAACATTGTTTGCTGATTGGAACCTTAAATCATTAAAAAAAAATTGTTTTCCCAGTTTCTCTAATTAAAGTGTCTCGATGAGAATATATTCTTATTCCCTTGAGGACATGTTGACTGTGTATTGCAACATTTCAACATTCATAAAATTGCCCACGGAGCAAAACAATATATGATGCAACTTGGCTTCAGGCAGGAACAGACCACGGTGCAGCCAGACAGTGTGTGTGTATGTGTGTGTGTCTGTTTCTGTGTGTCTTAACTATATGTTGCTCTCACCTGTAGTGTGAGGTTGTGCTGCAGGCCAGACGAGATGTGTAGCAGTGTGGCGCTGGCCTGACGTGTGCGGAACATGAGCTCTACATGCCAGGGGACGGACGCCGCCGCCAGGTTGTTCCATTGCAACAGGCTGTTGCCCAGGAAACGTTGTGGGCTGGCCATCACTGCAGCAAAAAAAAAGAAAGAAAGATTTAAAGCAGGTAACAATGTGAGGAAGAGAGGAAGACGCTGGACAGAGGGAGAAGTGATGCAGATAAATGAGAACAGAGTTTCACAGTAAGTGACTATGAGACTATGAAAAACGCATATGATTAGAGTGGACCTCCAGTGAGAAAGATGTTTTTCTTCATGTTCACTAACTGTGATGTTTGAGCTTCACTGTGCAGAATGATGTATGTGCATCGTTTGACACTAAAAGCCTGTTTCCCTCTAATCTGCTGGAGAGTGAAAGTTCCTCTGTGTTCACCTTGAATCTGACAGAAGACGTCAATGTGCGAAGAGGATTTGAACTCGTCTGCGAGAGAATATGAAACCTCCATTGCACTGAGAATGAAGTCTTCAGTGAAGTAAGAACGTGTTTCCTAAAATAACTCAAATGACCAAAAGTACAACACTAAGTTTCAATGTCGCATGATTTCAAATGTAGTTTTACTTGTAAGTTTGTGGTGTGTGTGCTTGTTCACTCATGCACTCTCTGAGAGACACTTCCTGGCTCTTTCACACAGCAGCATGTTGACACAGAAGGACACTGTGCCTGATGTGCAGCAGCCTCCCTCTCATTAAACTGTCTCTAGACAAAGTGAAGAAAAACACCTGAGTCACTCAGACTGAAACAACTGATCAGTGACGGCAAATGAACCTGATGCACGCAGCTGTGAGACACAGAGACGTACAGGGTGGTACACTTTCATTGCTTGAACATTTAGGTGATTGAATGATAAGTTGGTGCATTTATTCAGTGACATCATGCTTCATGCTTTTTATTGTATTACCTCAGCCATAGAGGTTTGGTTTTCATTGGTGTTTGTCTGTCTTTAAGCAGGATTATGCAAAAACTACAATAGCAATTTTACTCAGACTTTGTGGAAGGATGTGTTATGGGCCAAGAAAGAGCCTGTTTACTTTTGGAATAGATTCAATTAAGTGGATGGATCCATTGTGTTTTCCCAGGGAATAATTCAGGCATATTTAGTGAAACTGATAACTATCAGTGTGTGTAATATGTGTGGCTTGATTGAATTTAAGGGGACTGTGCCATTCTTGTTTTAATACCTCCACCAAGGACGTTATGTTTTCATCAGCATTTTTTCTTAGTTAGCAGGATTGTGCAAAAAAAACCTTGTATGCATTCTCTGAGCACCTTTCTACTTTTATAATTTCTGCTTGTGTATAGTTCAGTATAGTGTTTCCATTATTTGTGAATATTTAGACAGGTATGCTTATTATGTGCATTTAGTTTGTAACTGAATTAAACCATTTGCACACACAAAATAAATGTTCCTGTAGAAATACAACATATGGGTCAGATGAAAGTTTTACATAAAGCATCCTCACTCTCATAAACGTCTGCATCATAAACAGGCTCCTCTGATGGTGACGTTGATTTCTCCCGACTATTGTTGGTTATAATATATTCAAAGTTATCAATGCTCATTAGATCACCTTTGGAGATCAGTAACGTGATCAAGCTGCATTATACTTCGCTGTCCTACTTCTACTTCCCCCCACCTTTTCCTCAGACTTGTAGGCTCAATGAAACACACCTGTTCTTATTTGAATATCTATCTCCACTGCGTCACTCAGCAAACGTCTAATCCTCCCCTTTTACATTCGATCTGCATGAGAAAACACACCTATAAATCTTTTTCTTTTCCTCTCTATAGTTTAAGCTAAAGCTTCTTCTTTCTCTTCTCAAATTGCTGTAAACCATAAATCAGCAGAGAAAACAGCTGCAGCGGATCAGGTGGAACAAAAACAGACACTGGAGAACACAAGGACAGAAACATGAGCTACGCACTGTATGTCTTCAGGAGTCAGAGAGTAATTACTCTAAACGTGATTTAACATCAACTAAACAAGAAGAAAATTAAACTAAACTAGTGGTTGTTCTCTTGTCCTGTGTTAACGCTCAGGATGTACTTCAGAATTATTCCTTGTCATTAGTTAATCCTCCTCAAACAGCTCTATGATATACTCTCACTTTCTATTGTGAAGATTTTATATTCAATGTTTTTCTTAAAGCATGAACATGAATTTGCTTTATTACTGTTCATGTGTTTGGTTTATATAAGACTAAATGATTTACTGAACTGCTGTTACATTTTCATACATTACATGTTGGCTTTTTTCGAGGTCTGTTAAGAAATCGACACAATCTTTTTAACATAAAAACTATGTTTAATATGAAGCATTGCAGCAATGCAACGATCACTGTGCTTTAACTTTGATGACAACATGCCAAAGAACAAGTGATTCTAGGAATGTTTTATTGAACGTATCACAAGTGTGAAGCCGATAAAATGAACGAGATATGCAATCCACAGACAGACGTTTGCCCCTCATAGATGTTGAATGCACTAATTGGAAGTCGTGAATGTAATGTAATGATTGTGTGAGAAATCTGGCATTAAGTCTGCTGCCATGATCACCAGGTTTTGTTTGTGTGTCTAAAATGAAGACAGCTGTTATAGTGGATTTCCCCACCTGTTATTTTTAAATGCAAATGCACCAGCATCTGCATTTGACAGTTTCTGCCACTGTTTCCTCGCTGCTTATTTTAAACCTGACAAGGATCCGCCCCGGGTCACAAATATTGAGGAACAGTCTCGGGTCAAAAACTGCAGAAAAATTCAAATCAGCTCTCATTTTAATACGACTTGTTCACCTCGTTCGCAGTTTTGTCCTCCGAATCCAAGTGGGCAATCACAGCTGAATGAGCCCCACAGGTTCACGCAGGTTCCTCCATTTAAACACGGGTTGTTGTTGCAGAAATGTCTTTTGGCAGAGCATCCTGGGAGAGGGTGAGAAAATAGGAAGTTGATCTCTCTGTTTGATCTGTTTGATCTCATTATTTCATCACAGTAGCAAAGAGTCAGTGGGTAATAAACTATTCATAGCAAGTACAATGATCATTTCCCAGTGTCTCTGCTTCCCCGCTGTGCTCATTATACTCAGTGTTATTCAATCTTCTCATTTACTGCAAAACATTTACATGTTTAAGAGATACAGCAAAAGATAGGTCTTTGAGACAAAACAGCTGGTCAAAACGCTGTGTACCTGGCAGAGTGCCGTTGTTGGCGATGAAGCTGGCCATGTCTATGTGCTGGTTGTCAATCCGCAGGTTCTTCATGCAGCCCACAAACTGCCGGTTGCGAACGGGAAAATCTTCTGGAAGTTTAGGGACTCCTCCAAGAAGCAGGGGGCCAGTCAGGTCCAAAGATCTGATGATACAGAGCCACAGAAAATATTCAAACACCCACCTCAACCGAACCACATCAACAACACTTATGTAGGGAAAAAAAACACATGAAAAATTTACCAAAGAGATTTCCCTGTGTTATTCTTCTCCCCAGGGATGAAAACAGAAAAAAAGGATAAACATCCCGATAGAGGAAAGAGGCAAAGCTCAGCTAACACCCTGAAGATATGGAACTTCATTTCAAAACAAGTTTACGCTTTCATTTAATGAGCCGACTGCTCAAACTAATCATTTGAATTACTGAAGTCAATATGGAAGTAATGAGGGAATTTATAAAGCGAGGAATAAAGGTTATTTATGGAATTCTTATTGCAAAATAGATGTTGAGCCTCCACACCTCATACCTCTGCTGATGTCTACTCACTTTTTGGATCCTGTTTGGCTGCCTTGAGCAGAGCAGGTGTAGTTTCCGATCATGTGACCAAACCTCAGGGCCACAGAGGTGTCACAGTTGTCCACCGTCACTATGACGACCTTCTGGTCCGAGGGGCCCTGCGGGAGGCCGGCCTGGTTTAAGATCGGCTGTGGAGAAAGAAAGACAAACTCAACCAGTTTCCTTATGTTTCTGAAGTGACTTAAAATAATGAGGATTAAGGAAAAATACATACAAGAAAACATAATAATGCTGTGTGGTATAAGCACATCTACAGTCGAGAATCTAGAGAACTTTCTTTGGTTTGTTTTAAGAATATTTCTTTCATCTTTCCATCTAATCGAGGGTGTAAGAATGCAATCTATGTTTTTGTGCTTTGCATTGAAAGAATGAATCTGTCTACTGTCTGCACTGGTTTTAAGAGGTGCAGGGGGACTGGAGCCCATGAAAGATGATCACAGAATAATAAACAGATGCACACAGATGTGGATGAGTGCAGTTCAGCAGAGACAGTAAAAATAGATTGATTTAAATGGACAGATAAAAGAAAGGTGCTTTAGGCCCTATAGCATCACATTCATTTAAAACTTCCCAAAACATCTGTCAGAAAAATATCACACATCATCATTATCCTATTTTTAAAACCCTTCAGTATTTTTGGTCAATGGCTGTTTATAAATAGCACTCTGAAAATGTTTCATCACTCTACTGCACCTAAACACAAATCCATGAGGAAGGGCAAAAAATCCAGGGAGTCTCAGTGGCAGCTAATCTGTACGTATGAATTAATCAACCAAATGAAACATCTGAATATGGAAGACAAAGCACCAAGAAATTATAATTTTTTGCATCACAGCAGGTCGTTCTCTGCTCGGCTCCAGCTCTCTGTAATTAAGCATTTTAATAATTCAAATCATAACAGCTACAGCTAAAACATGCATGCACACACGCACACACACACACTAGTGAAGGGCTTGCTCTCGGCAGGACACCGTCCCTGTCGACAAAGGATCTTCTTCATTGTCTGAGAAATCAATAGGGGGGAGAAACAAAAGGAGGTGGGGTCTGCGGGGGAGAGAATGATGATCCTGTCAATAAAAGGTCGCAACCTCTTTTCAAACCGGTCAGTTTGTCTGAGGTCATGTAGGGCTCATATTAACCCTGAGCGTAGGTTCAAGCTGGTGTCGCGGGCTCAGAGCAGCGACCACCCTCGCCTGCAGCTGAGCGACTGGACGGCCTGCAGGCGATGAGATGGGCTGCTGAGCCGTCAGCTGGTCGGGCAGGATTTAGTGGGAATTAGCTTGTCTCATGTGCAGAGATGAAACTGAGATCTGGCTCACTGCTGATGGATTGTAAATACACATGAGCTTTGGATTTTTATTGTTGGGCCATTTAGGTGAGGTTGAACTAAAATAGATCCTTCGCCACTGATTTAATAAGCTTCAGGAATGATCATTTCCTGATTGCTCTGATGTTATGATTGCCTTTGTCTTTACTGTCTGATCCCTTAATTTAAAAGTCTGCAGATAAGACGCCCAGCAGTAGAAATATTGTGGGTTTCACAGGCCGGTGTGACATCTTTAGCAGCTCTGTCATTGTAAGTTTATTACATTTTTAAAAAAGCACAACAGTATAGACTAATGTACCTTTGTCTGTCTCTGAGAGGCTGCAGTTACTTCCATATATTCCTATACTCACTTTGTGCCTTGAGCTCATAGATCTCTGAGCGTGATGAGCGCCTCACTGACATCACATCATCATTTAAGCTTAGTTAAGAAAACAAATATCTCTGGGTGAAGTTAAAACTCTCAGTGTGAGTCGAGTGTATGTTTGCCTGAGATGATCAAGCTGTTTGTGTGCTCTTCTTAAAGATGGTTCGTATCTTCACAGGAGCTCAACAACAGTCTCAAGCTGTGGACAGATATTTGAAAAGTTCCTCCATTTCAACAAGTTCCCCCTCGAGTATAAGAGGCCCTGTTACGGAGCACAGTTCCCACAAGAAGTCACAGCATTTACTCTTGACTGTGACATTCGCTGTTCAACACTGAAATGTTAAGTAGACGGAAACAGAGCATGGAGGTAGCTTTCTATTTTTCAGCCGATTCTCCTAAAGGCCAACTTGTTACAAATTTGTTGACGATGAAACAAGCAAACACGCCGTGTGAACCGCCAAAGGTGAAATCATCTGACATGCTCTTTTCCACGGTTTTCCCTTCGCTGTGAAAGCTCTGAAACAGGCAGCTCTCCAGATTGGACGCTCCCTTCACTGACCTCTGCTGTCATCCGTCACGGCTGTTGACTCTCCAATAATGACTGTCTGTCAGGACGTCTTTCTTCAGTCTTGTCACACTGATTGGAACGCACATATTTGTTCAGGACCACATTAAACACTGCTCTCGCTCACCACTACATGGGATTATGGGAATATGAGTTCCTTGTCACAGAGAGTGACAGGGGTTGTGCAGGACGAGTATGGCAGAAAGCAGCACAAATATGGTGTCTAAGATTGACTGGAAAAACCATAGCAACAAGAGGGGTCGGCCCTGAAGCGCGGCGTCCCTGTACAAAGCCCGAGTCAATACTTCTCTGGGCATTTCTTTACCCTCCTTTCGCTCCTCTCCTGCTCCACTTTTCTGTCTTCGCTGGAGGAACAGAAGGAGAGGGGCACTTTCCCCGGGGCCGCATCATTCACTGCCCGTGCTCCCAAAGGAAGCAGAGCCCGACACAAAGGCAGCGGTCATTGCCATTCTCCACAGTCCCCCGCTATCCCTGAAAGCCACATTTCAATCTAAAATGCCGCCTCCCCGCCTCACCCTGCCCCACCCCCAGTGGACAGGGACGGGTCAGAGTGGGCCACCGTGGGATATCTTGTGTAGGAGGAGCCATGGTTCTACCTCAGTGACTCACAGGATGTGGAACATGAGGAAGGCATGGAGGATTAGTTCAGCTCCAGCGGTGGGACTGCACTGCAGCTGGACCGGGACACCTCTGGGAAGAGTGCTTCTAAGACTATGCTATGTATTCAAAATAATATAGATATTCATGTGATAAATACAACATCAATACTTTATGAAATGGGTGCAAAACATACACTTGAGCACCAATCAGATCCACCATCTGGATCTTCAATTCTCCTTGACTTTACAGAGGTTAAATCCAAGTTTCAGCTCATTGCTCAGCTGTTTGTCCTGCGACGGTTCGGCCCTGATTCACTCCGCCACCAGATATCAGAGATTCCTGTGAAAACCTGACCCAGAGAGAGTAGTGACCAAACCCGACTTGAAGAGTCTGACATGGCTGAAGCTGATGTTTTGTTGCCCTGTCACTCGGTTATTGTTACCATGGTCACAGTTTGCCTGTTTACCCTGGTTACACATAAGTGGGTACCTCAAAGGCATCAAGAAACCTTTTTAAACCGAAGGCTAGATTGATTTTAAACACAAATTATGCAAATAAATCAAATAATCATTGCTTATTGTTTGGCTAATGTGAATGAACCAAACATTTCTGTCCCACCTGTCCTGCATATGCAAACCTCACATTAACAGAATCATCATATCCTCAAACACTTACAGATGTACGTACAATTTCCAGGTCAGTGAAACAACAAAAGAACCAGAGCGTTGTTACATTTTGTCTAAAAGTGATTAATGAGAAAATAATGTCTTGTTGGCAAAGAACCAGCTTGTTTTCATCCAAAAGTTGACAAGATTCTCCGCCTTCATTACTTAAATCTGACATGTCCATGTTATCACAGACACTGAAGAGACAATCTGTGCAGCGGGGGTGTTGCCTGGCAACATCTTTATGATGCAAAGTAACTTCCTCAATGGACTGAAATGTCACATGCTGTGTTGGTCCTGAGTGGGAAAGTACTGGGAGAGCAGCGGAAACAGCTCCATACATTCCTTCACCGGGTGAGATGTTGTGAAACGTAATTGTCAGAACATATTTAGTCCAATCTGAGCATGTCTGGAAATCTGTTTGCTTTCCGTTTTCACGCTTTCATTCATTGATTCATTCAACGCCCCTCGTCTGAGTCTTTGCTTCTGTCAGGGGCAAGTTGGATCGTTGGCTCTCTTCCAGATCAGCATGTCAGCAGTGATTCTTTTTTCTGACCAAGCAGCAGCACTAAAGAGGCACAACAACACACTTACTCTGTGGGCTCACTCTCACCACAGTGATTCCCTAGTCGTCACTGCAGACTTACAGTCTGTCACCTGCAGCCAATCAAACCTAGGAACCTGATTTCACTCTAAACATCTTTAATCACTATATGTCTGGTAACTATGGCAGCAAAAGATATTCAACCAAAGGCAGATCAGCTATAGATGATATAAGTAAAACAAGGAAAAAACTAAAGTCAATATATCCTAATATACCGAGGGCTCACCATCCTCAACTTTATTAAACAAAAACATCCGGCATTTTGGGAAACACACTTGTTCTCTTTCCTGTGGAGAGTGAGATGAGAAGATTGATACCTCTCTCATGTCTGTAAATAAGAAGGTTATGATCAGCAGCCTGTTAGCTTCACTTCGCAAAAAGCCTGGAAACAGAGGGAAACCATAAGCCTGCCTCTGTCTAATCCATCAATTAATCTCAATGAAAAAGCATATTACCCAACATGTTAAACTATTTCTAACATGTTAGAGCAGAAAATCAACAAGGATCAATGAAGGAGTAAGAGTCACCAACTCTTGTAGAGTTACCTCTAATTTAATTATAACAAGTCAAAGATTCTGGATTATGGTTTAGACCAATATACCAATGAAAACCCAAAGAGGCAAATCTGCATATTCGTAATGTGCTTAAGGATTTTTTTTCTGAGTTGATGGATTTTCAGTCGTACCTTGTTGTAGTAGTGAACCTCCACCACGTGCCACAGGCCGTCACTGACGCCGCCGAGCATGTAGGGGGAAACTGTAGTCTTGGTTTCACCTGGGAAACAATCATAGAGCTGAATGATAAAACAGCACTTGACACTGATCTGAAGCTGAAAAAAAACACATTTGCAATGAAACATAATGATGAATAATTAATGAACTGTTGTACCTGCAGAGAAGGTGAGCTGAATCTGCTCATTGATGATCTCCATGGCGATGAAGTCATGCTTCTCATTGAAGCGGCCGTTGTAGAGCAACAAACCGTTTGGCTCTTTGGTGGCAAATCTGGGGAAAAATAAAAAACAAATGTAAATGATGCCTATTTTGCTAATGTAATTACTTAATCTACATTCATTCTCTAAGTGAAATGAGACTGGTGATATTTGATATTTTCCTTTTTGTCAACAAATGCTATAAAAAGATTTAATTTAGAATGTGCTTAAAATAATTAAAATAACACCATCATAGAGCTTATTCTGCTGTGCTGTAAATGTCTGTTGTTGAAAGAAATAAAATTGTACACATGCTCCCTTCATTCTACTTCGACTTTATTTATCAACCTGCTGCTGCAAGTTCACTAAAACATTACAAGTGTATTTATCCCTGGCAGAAAATAATGTGTAAAATGTAGTATTTTCTCCTGTTTGATTACAACAGTGACCATTAAAGATGATTTAAAAAAGGAATGTTAATCTTTGTAACCAGTTCCATGTCCGTACCCTCCATGTTCCCAGAGAGAAGAGGGTAGTAAAGAAAGAGGGCAGTGGTTGAGTTTGGCCCATTTAAAAATATGTTCCTTTCTCAATAAAGTGCTCACAATAATAGTGTGCTGTTTAAATTACTATCATGAAGATGAAGATTTATCAACACTGATTCAACTATGCACAGATAAGATAAGGTTAATTGTGAGAAGATTTAAAAAAAAAATCATATTCACAGCACAGACACACTGAAGGGAATCAGAATCTGCTGCCGTGAATAGATATCAAGGAGCCACATTAGACGGCACACTACAACATAGAGAGACAGGAAAGTAGGGCAATGTTAAAGCAGCAGGGTGGAGGAACACATTATTGTAAGTGAAGAGGAAACATGCAGGAAAAGACAGGTCTGAGTAATGACAACTACAAAACATATTTATATAACATGGGGGAGAAAACAGTGATTTAACAACAGCCTCAGATTGACACATCTGCATTGTGATGGTGAAAATAAAAAATACTCCGTCTGTCATGCTGCACGATCCTCGCATATTAATAATCATTGCTATGTCTCTGCATACACAAAGTTCAAACTCAGGGGGCAAACTACTCATGGAGCCTTCACTCTATAACGGGGATCAAAGTATGTGTTGGAGTACATGGTTTAAAAATATCACATTTTACCTGTCAGCTGTGCTCTGCAGTCGTAAATCTGATCCTGGAAATGGGTCACTGGAATACGTGTGTGTGTGTGTGTGTGTAGGTGTGTGTGTGCGTGTGTGTGACAGTGTGTTATAACAAAAAAACTGGATTTATCCATTATCCATCTCACACTGGACCTATCAGTGAGTCTCCAGTGCACATCTGCCAAGTGAGCGGTGTGCAAAGCTTCATGCCATCTGTACTTTCTGGTCACTTCCTCCGTTAACATGCAGCTTAATCTTTTCTCAGAGGGCTGATTAGCTCTGTTTCACAAAGATCAATCTCAATCTAAACCACGAAATCAGTCTGACTTTCTTCTTTTCTCTGAGGCCAAATGGGAGCTGCAGCCACCATCAAAGTCTTTTTCAGTGGAAGGATGTCATTCATACGTCCAAATATCTATGATATACATCCTCCCAGAGAACATGAGAAAGCCTCCCCCTTTTCAGTCTCCAGGGTTTGAGGGTAAACTGTAAACATAATGCTGTTTGTGCAGTTTTCTCTTGCTGGAGAGGAGCTGGGGGGCACGGCACCGCTGACCTGCTTACTGAGGAAAACGATAATCACGACCTCCTAGGAAAGAGGATGCCGATGCTGCAGCTGATAACACTGTAACTGAAGAGACGCTGCGCAGACAGCTACTATACATCCAGTAAAAATAACACAGTGTCAGCTGGAATCACCATCCAGTCTATTTCTCTTCAGCGTGCTTCCACTCTTTGACTTATCGATTTAAAAGGCTGCTCTGTGTTGTCCCCCCGAGCCCTCTGAACTATGAGAGTAATCAGCTGGAACTAAACACTGACTCAACTGGCATCACTGCGTGTTGCATTAGGCACCCATCAGTAAAAATAACAACCAGTCTGCCCTTATGTAGGGAACTGTGTCACGCTATGCTAACATGCTGCAATGCATAAGAGTGTGCAGTGTGGAGGAAAAAAACATTAGCCACTTATTGATTTTACAACCTGCAAGTGTGAAATACAGGAAACAGAAATCTGTGTTTGATCATGTACTTCACATGAAGGGCTGGAAAAGGAAGAGAAGCAGCATGTCAATAATATATTTTTTTAAATATATATATATCTGTAGCTTACAAATCCACCACTTTGGTCCAGACTAAAATCTCTCAATGACTCCGGGATTATGATTTATTGCCAGGATTCAGGGCCCCAACATTAGAGAAAAAGTTGCGTGATGGGCAAAAATATATTTATATAAATAAAACTAAAGATTTTTTTTCTGGAGAAATCAGAAATAAAAATGAGAGTGCAGTGTTTTTCTAATTATATCTAAATAACTGACATGTTTTATCATGAAAGCCTTTGACCCCTTCACTTCCACTTAGATAACCATCACAGCAAATGATCCAGTACATCAAAATGTAAAATAAAGACACAAATGGTCAGTGATTATGTTCTCAGTGGCTTTACTGCATGTGTGTGCAGAAAGGAATTAGCTTTCCAAGAACACAACTCAGCCACTAAAACAAGGCCACGACCCATTTGATGTGAGTGTCTATGTGTATGAAGCATGAGTGTTTAGTCACAGGTGACGGGCCAGGTCACAGGACACATGCTAACAGCTCTGGGCGGGTCTAGATTTGACTTGGAGATAATTGTGGGCAACAGGTCAGGTCCAGTACGGAGCTTTGCGGGTGTGGGTTTGCAGAAATGACCCCGATTTCAAATTTTTTTGTTCAGCATTAGAGCTATAATGTTGTAAAAGAGCCCCACAGAAATGTCATCAGTCCGAGAAACATCATGTCCTCTGTTCGTCGTGATGGAGAGAAACCTCAAATTAGCCGTCACTCTGAGTGAACAAGATCCACATCGTGAGCCGTTTCTCATAACAGAAGCTCTTTCTGTGAGAAACCCGATCAGCGCAGGCTCAGGTGACAGAGCCACTTGTTGACCTCACCCGCCTCGAGCTCCAAGTATCTGCACCTTTTTACACACAGCTACTTCACAGCTTCTCTGACCTGCCAGTAATACACAGGCCTTGTTTCAAAACTGGTTTGAGCGGTTCTCCATCAAAAAAAGATCTGTCATCTGAACCAGGCTTTAAGAAGACTCCTCAAAGCTCACAAGGGGGATATGATTTCCACTGGCAGCCATTGTGAGCGTCAAACCCTGCCAACAATGTCTAAGGTGACATGGATTACAATAAGTACAGCAAAATGGCCGGACACATTCCCTGTGATACCGTTAGAGAGATGATACTTGTTGTCACTTGTTGTGACAGATATCAAACACAACAGACGGCTTTTATCATTGACTACATTTCATCTGGTGCAGATCGAAGGTTTCAGTGTTTTTACATTGATTTTACAGCTCATCTGCTGATTTCTAAATCACCCCCCCCACCAAAAAACACTTTCACAAACCACCAAATGATCAACCATACAGGTTTAAAGCTTAAGCTTCGATTTCAGCCTTCAACCTGCTGCACCTGCACCACAATAACTGATTCTAACACTCGGGGGACTGCGAGACACAAAGACAATTACGTGTTCAACAAAACCCACCCCGTCTCTAAGAAGTAACACTTCCATCTAATGATGTTTCACATGGAAGGTGAAAATAACAGTAGCACTAACTAGAACTATGATATTCACCGCCATTGCTATAAGGTGAAATTAAAAGCAAAAGGGAAAAACTAACTTAAAACTGTCCTGTCATGCTTTTAAAACCAATGTAATGAAATTTGCAGGAGACAGCTTTTTCTTTTTGTGCTGTGTAGCAAAGTGGAGAAACGGTTGAGATCAAATCTACTTGTGCTCAATGCTAATTATGGCATGAGATACAGCACCTCCAGCTCTCAAAGAAAGTGCTAGTGCTAGCAAAATTTTCTCTTCCTGTGTCCAACATTTTTTCAGTCTGAAAATAATCTGAACTGAAGTTTAATTTGAGTCTTGAGCTGTAATGTGAAACAAAGTTGTCATATTATTCCTGCCCCCTTTATGTGACACTTTGATATATTCTGGAATTGACTTCCATTAGATGAGCAGATCGATACCACGCACATGTCTGTCAGGTAAACGTGAAGCTGTAGACGTGGTCCTGGAAGCCCCTGCCACTCTTCTGACCCCCGACAGTTTCACACTTCAATTTCTAAGTGTTTCCTATACATTGATTTACTAGTAGCCTCTTTATTAACATTGAGAGCCAAATATTGATCTTTCTATTTCTTCTAACTATTTCAGATGAGTAAAATAATGAATTCTTTCATTGATTATTCGCTCAGCCTCTCATGGCTCCTCACTCACGCACTCACTCACACACACTCACTCACACTCTCACACACACACTCACACACACACACACACACACACACACACACACACACACACACACTCTCTATCTGTATAGTCAGACTGGCTAAAGACTACATTATTTGCTGTTTTTGAACAGATATCTTTTAATGTCTATATTCGGATATAGCGCAGGGATGCGAGATCGGATCCAAAGTGGTCACACGTGGAGATTCTAATGTCAGATGTGAAGTGATGCAGTCAGAGCTGTCCACTGGGGATCAGATCACCTGAGATGTTAATTCCAGGGCTGAAAAGGTCCTGTTGTTAGACTTTTAAACAAAATTTATTTTTCTTGTACCTAAACAATATCATCTTCTCTACAAATACAGAGCTGATATTCTTAACAGTGTAACAGGAAAATAAAAAGCCAAAGTATTGAATAAGCACTCCTGAAGTCGGCCTCTCTCAGGCTTCAGGGAGACTGGGGTAGAATTAGGCCAGGCGCTGACTCACAGCTCAGAGTGACCAGTGACACTGACTGTAATAAGATCACACTCACTTTTAGCTGAGGTCTCCTCTCCAAAAACACAGCTCACTTTCTTTTCAACAATAACCACACAAGCTGCTCTGTGTGCAGCGTGCACACCTCTGATATCCACCAGGCTTCAGAAGTGCTTCTACATTTTTAGCACAGATTCTATGATCACCAAAGTGGCTCTACAGATGATGGTTGTTGTTCAATGATCCCATTATCGCTATTAAATGCCATTATGGTTACATAAATGTGTTGAGGGGGAGAGCACTTCAGTGGAATGCATGTGTGTGTGGAGGCAGGATGTGGGGGAGGACAGGGAGTGAATCACAGATTGGATGTGATGCAGGTGATGCTGGTGAGCTGTGGCTTGTTGCAGTGAGGCGGAGGTGCTTACGTGAGCGACAGGGTGAAGTGAAAGCGCTGGCGTAGGCCCTTGAAGGTCAGGAAGGAGTGCGGGGGGAAGTTGCGCGTGGTCATCTCACAGTAGGGCTTCTCGAAGCCTCCTGGCGGACAGTCGCACCTGAACCCGCCGATCAGCAGGTTGACGCAGGAGCCCCCATTCTTGCAGACTCCAGTGGCACAACGGCCAGAGCGGGACGACAGCTCGCAGTGCTCCCCTGAGATCCACAGAGATGGATGGAGGAGGAGAAAAGAAGAGAGAAATGAGGATTTATAATGTTTGTGACAAGCAGTGCTGCCTCAGTCATCCCTGTGGCTTTCACCTCAGGGAATTCACACCGCTATATTCCATCTTTCTATCTTTCTAGCTGTTCTATATGTGCAAATATACAAAGTGACAGTATCCACCTCATATCAGTGACTGTGAGATACAGCTGTACTGTTGAAAAAGATGCAGGGTGGGAGGAAAAATAAGTTGTGACATTGCTGAAAAAGTGTATCAGTTGACAGTCTTTCAATCAGTGGACAGTCTTTCAATCATGGACGCTGTTATTCTATCAACTCTGTTTGAATCTTTGTGTCTCTCCTCCCTCAGCTACAGTTTGAGCTGTAAACAACATCACATTCAACCTGATGGCTGAACGCTGTAAGTGGTTTATGTATTCAAAAAATGAAGATGATTGCAGTTTCATGCAGACAGGAGCGGCTCGTGATGATTATTCTCAGCTCAGGTCATGATTACTCCATCACAGCACTGGGCAGCTCCGACAGCGACAGACTGATACACACAAAGTGTGTGAAGGAGAGGTGTCATTCCTTCCTGCTGCCGTCAGACTGAACAATCAGCTCTGCTCACAGTCGACCACAAGAACCAAATATATCTCACATTTGTTTCACGTTTTAACAAATTCAACTGTGCAAAATCCATTCTCTGTCAATTTTTCAATATCATATATGTGCAATCCTGCCACACTGTATATTATTCTGTTCACACATGAATATTCTGTTCACACATGAATATTCTGCTTGCACTGTGCATATTTCTATTTTTACATTTCCTCATGTTTATATTGCTAATTTATTTATTACTTCTATTGGTGTTTCTATCAGTCACTACCCTCCTGTGTTGTTGTATTAAGTTTTTTGTAGCTCATTTACTGCTACAAATTTACAAAGTGCTTGAATGTAAATTACACTACCAAAAACATTAATTAAACACTATTGGCATGACAGCAAACAGAAAAGTTAAAATCCCCAGGAACAAACAGACGAGGAAATAAGCAAAAATAACAAGCAATGAATAAAATGGAGCAGCTTTTCAAATGGCCAAACCAAAAGTCTGAATAAAACCATTTTAGCTGCTCCATAAAGATGTCACAAGACTCGAAGAATCACAGCGACAAGGGGAGATCATTCAAAAAACGAGTGCAACACCTTTAAAAGCACGGTCACCTCAGGTTTTATAGCAGGTTTCAGGGACAGTCTGTATTATTTTTTTTTACAGAAGACCTAAGAGCTTATCAATAAACAGGTGTGTTGACCACTTAAGGCTCCAGTATTGTAAATTACATTTAGTTGGAAGCAAGCAAAGAGAGGATGAAACTGAGATACATCAAATCTAGTTTGAGACCATCAGTTAATTAATGAGCTTGAAGACATTCATGAATGAGAACATGATGAGATTCACCTTCATAAGGAAAACACACAGCACCTGCAACACTGATCGCTAAGAGCAGGAACAATAAGTAGGTTAACTGATCAGCCAATCAAAAACATTTCGCTGCTACCTAGAAGAGCACTCAGTAGAGTCCATACCAAGGCCCAAAAGTCTCTTTGATTCAAGCAGCACCAAATATCTCTCATCAATATCACTTCCCTTAATGTGTCTGATTTTTTTCATCAAGATCCCTGAATGTCGAAAAACGCCACAATGTTAAAAACTGTGAAAAAAGACATTCCTTTCTGAGAAAACTCGACCCACCAAAGCCAAACAGTCTCTTTATGAAACCACGTTTAAATTCACTAGAACCAGATTTGATGGATCTGCACCAAATTGCAGACATGCATAAATATCATACCCCCCATCTCTTAATGTTAAAGATCGTGAAGAGGAATTCCTGATTCAGATCCACACCAAAGGTCTTGGGTTTCTTGGGAATCCATAGCTTTTGTGTAACTAACAGACAAACATAGATGAAAACATAACCTCCATGGTGGAGACAATCATTTAAAGATAATTAGATGCACATTTAGTTGCAGGCCTAGATTCACACAGAGCTGAACTCTGGGTGTGGATTGAGACACTGGACTTCAGGTCACATCAGGCCAGCAAAGCGACAATCACACTGCGAAGGCATGGGTCAGCACAACACTGGTACATTAAGAGAGCGACACACAGCGACACTGTGACCCTGTGAAGTCCAACTCACATGTGGCATTTGTCTGGATCGTTCTGATTGGGAGGCTGCAGCAGTTGCTCGGGCGCAACTGCTCGCTCTCCCATGCGTGAGCTGGAATTTGTGTCAACGCCACACAGCCAGCAGTGTGGAAGACTTCCGCAGAGTTCAGCACTACTGTAACACTGGCAGACACACACAGAGCCCACATCTTCTTCCAACACCACTGACACACACACAGGCCTTTTATTTACTCTGTGTCTATTAATCACTCCATTCACAGGCCACTGAAAGCAAGTGTCCTGCTGCTGCTGTCCCTCTATACGTCCATTCAGTCAGACTAAACTGAAAAGATGCTGGATGAGATGTTGGAGTGGACGATAATGATTCAGAATATGTACTGATTTATTTATAGACAGATAAAACTGTTGTATTTAGATGGAATAAATACTGATGGTGACAGACAAGTGAGGTGAAATGTGTTTTACTGATTCTGCTATAACCTTACCACATCCCATATCTACTAAAACCTCTAACTTAGCTTTGTTTCATTTGGTTTGTGTGAAATTTGTCACAGATAATGTTCAGATGTTGTGATATATGTATTAAAGGTTTTGGGCTGCAACTGAATTATTACATGGGGAATATTCTGTGTTACAGTGTGATATTTTTTTTGGCAGACATGAAAAGTTCATTCATAATCATGTTGTCTTAAACCTCTGAAGAAATGTCAAACGTGTTACCTTTACATTGATTCCAAGGTTATTCGTATAGACTGTAGTTGCAGAGACATACTCTATTCATTTTGGGCATGTATTTTTTAACAGGGGCCTGAGATAAAGAGGTTAAACCACAAAGTAAGAAAATGAATCCAAAAGACAGGGATTTAAGTTGTTACTTAAAGGTTAAATTAATTAACGCTTTGCAATATGGCGAACCCGTTGAAAGGTTGTGGGCAGATGTGAAGCTGGTTTAGATCCTCTGCCAACAGAGTTTGTTTAATCTCACAAGGGAGAGCTCCTCAGATGAACTTCTGACCTCTCACTTTTATGAAAAGTGCAGCAGAGCATCAAGGGAAGGGTGGTTAAAGATTTACTGACATCATTGTTAGAAGGAAAAACACTAAACCTTTTGTCAGGTTTTATTAATGAAGGTTTTTATGACGTCTCAATAGGTTTCTTTTAACTATAAACTCTATAATAGATTATCACTGATCTATAGAGCATCAGTAAATGTTTTTTTTTACCTTTACTTCAGCCATCAGTGACAATTTAGTATGACGAGAGAATATCCTCACAGAAAGCGATTGTGTCTCTATCAGAAGTCTGAGGAAGAGCCTTGGTGCTGGAAATGTCACAGGAAAATAAATCCTTTTAGGGGAACTGTAGGTGGGAGGATTTTCTCTTTTTTTTCCAAATGCTTTGTGATGTTTTGTTGAACCAGCGCCCATCAAAAGATTTTTTTACTGGATGTGTGTGTTGTTCAAGAAACAACAGAATGGTGTCATAGCCTCTGTCCCGTCAGTCTGTCATGTTTGACAGACTGACGGTCTGGTACAGTGCTGTCAGCATCGTTATTAATTCAGCAACTCGCTGGAGGCAATAAACTAGTTATTGTTTCTTGAAGCCACAGCCACTGTGGTCAAATATTGCACCAGCCTACAGAGCTGTATTAAACATGTAGATACTCAGGTGCTGGGATTTCATTTGGAAACATAGAGACAGGATTTACTGAGAGACATATTCAACAGTTCATTTTGGTGGCTGTACCTCACTGTTGATATAAAAGGCTCGTCAGGGTCTATAGTTGATACCTGTGGGACGTTGAGGTGCTTTGTGTTGCCAGGTAAGCAGCTCAGCAGGGTGTGGACGGGCTCAGTCACAATTCGATTAAATATCCTAATCAATTATTCAAACACATCTCCTCTGCTCTATTTGCGTCCGGTCCCAGCGCCCACACACTGTCTGCTGCCAGCATGAATCATTAAGGCAGCCAATCGCACAAACACCTCAGAGATCCTGTGTTTATTTAACCAGCGGCTACAAGCTTTAATATTTGTTTTTAATGAAACATACCTGACTGAATATAAAGACTGTATATAAACTGTAAATAAGCATTTCTGCACAAATTCTTATTAATATTTGAAATGAAGTGAGTGAATGGATGAAAAGATTTGATTTATTAAAAGATTAAACTAGGCAAACATCACCTTCAAACCTAGTTAAAAGAAACTGCATTAAAAATCACAGCAGGAGTATAAATCAGAATATTTACACCTCTGCCTTCACTTTAACCAGTTTATTCTTGTTTTGCATAAAAAGAGTTTGACAGAAACACAAAGAAGTATTGTGCAATGGATTTGCTGCATTTAATCGCTCTTAGTCAATCAAAACTTATCCTGGAGGCTTTTCAAAGAGAAAATAAACTAAATGGAAAAAAAGACTGATAACCCACCAGCCTCCTAAAGCCAAGGTAGCTGAAATTCACATTAGAAATCCAGACTAGGCCATATTTATTTATTCATTTGGCTATGTATCCACTGATTCATCTCATTGGTTCGATGGATAATTAGACCTTACCAGAGAATTATTAAAAGTTGTAGTGTAACTGTGCAGCACAAACTGTTCTTGCAGACTGACCAGGTTTCCTCTGAGATTCTATACCTGAACAGGTGTGTCACTGCTGCTAGGTAACACAGGGGCACAAACTCTCCTGAGTGAGTAAGACAGAGCAGCTGCATCCCTCCGGACACACCAGCACCTCCGAGCTCAGGGACGCTGAGACATTCACCTCCACAACAGCAGAGACTCGGTTCGTTCAAACTCTGATATGAGGAGGTCGATGTCAGCACAGTCAAAGACCTTCAGCTGACGCAAGCACTCACTATGGATTATGATCAAATCTTATTCTTGGGTTATAGATAATCCAGAGGCTAAGGATCAAACAAACTGAAACATGTCTCATTAGACTTAATTCAAAGAGAACATAAAAAACCAGTGTAACTCATCAACCCTGTCACTGTGCAGAGTCTGTCAGTCTGGCTGCCAACTTATCTATCAATTTTCATCCTGACTAATACATTTAATTAACTATTTGAATGAGTTGTTATAAAATCTGGTGCAGATATTCAGAGACTCAGCAAATTAAATTGCAGTAACTTGGGTGTAGCACTACAGAATTTGTCCAATCATTTGGTTTATTAAAGCTCGAAAAACACCCTTATAGAGTAGCCATGCATGACTACAGATTCTCCGCTCTTACGACTGTTTCTCCAAAAACATTTTGACCTCTGGGCGACATGTAACACCCATAAGACAAGTCACACATACGAGAAAAGTAACTAATTATTCTGCAATAAAAGAAAATAACATAACATGTCCTATTAGGGTGGTCGCTGATGTCTTTCATGTAACTGTTACATGGCATCACTAACAACAATCATGGCGACTGTCAAGAAAGGTAGACACAGAAATGACAAATGATTATTTATGGTTGAGGTAAAAAGCCGACTAAATGTGCTTATGGTTGCAGTGAACAAAAAAGCCAATTTCAAAAATCATTACAGCTGGAAACAAGCATCTTTCTCACAGAGATGGAAGTGATTGATGGACGGATTCTAAAAATGTTTCAGTGTCAGTTTGTCTCAAAGAACCTCTACAAAGCTACGCTATGTCCAGTTATTTATTTTGGCCTGCATCATATAAAAAGGTCTGTTGTTAGACGTGCAGGATGATATGTTTCAGTCGTCCATACAGACAGTGATGTGTGTTTTCAGAGAAATGTGTGAGAACTTGAGGAGAAGAACATCTTGTCGTTCAGCGTCTACAGAATGACTCAGCCGAGACAAACCGTCCACTCTGTCCTTCAGAAGAACAGCAAAGATGGTGGCTGTTAATATTTTTTCATTTTCTTTCCTGCTACCATCTGGCAACGCCTACGGTCCAACAGTTGCCCACCACACGCGCAGACAAACACACACACACACACATCTATGCACCACTAACATATAAACATGCCAACTTTCCTACACACAAATAATCACAGCTATTCAGCACTTAGCTAACCACATGAATCTCACACACACACAGATTCATGCAAACACACTGAGACTGATTAACCTGAAGCAGAAACGGGAGATTTGTAGATCACAGAAAAATATACATCAAATAAAACCTGCCTGAACAACCTTGTGTGATCAAACACTAAAACTGTGTGATTCAAACATCTTTAATTATCAACTACACCACCACGTGCACTCTCTGATAACTCTACCAGTCCTGCATACTGCATCTAACAGCACCTGGGTCCACACCACCAACTGATGGAGATTAATGTCACTGATTGTGGTCTTCACTGCTCTCAGTGTGGCCGAATGGAAGTACACCCACTTTACCCACTCACATGTTTGCTCTCCCCCTCTGCTCACGTTAAAAGCAGCTACGGTTCAGCTCCAACACCCACAGCTGTGCATAAGAATATGTAAGTGCCACTCAACCTGGCCTCTAAGTGGACGGAGCCCACACATTCAAAACACCGACACTATTTCAGACTTTACAAACAGCGGCATAAATAGGTGAAGAACAAAAGCTGTTAATGTTCGATGAGGAATAATGGAAGCGATGCCATTCCTGAGAACACAAACACAACGATGTGACATTATGCAGTTTATGTTTAGTTCAACTCATTTTAAGAGAAATTTTATTTTGGCAGCAAACAGGATTAGTGGTTTTAGTTAAAGTGATCATTCCTCAGCTCTAAGCTTTTACAAAAAGAGAAAGTGGTGAAAGTTATATTGAGAGGGGCTTCTATTATTTACCCTTCACTCATTGATATAAATAGTGTGGAGTCTGAACAAAATAATACAAACGCCTGTCATCATTAGATAGCGCGAATTCAACTCTGTGCACCCAATAAACCGGCAAATTAATGATTAAAGATTTGATAATGGATTATAATGAACTATAGTGTAGCAGTGTAGTTTAAAGGACATTTTCAGGTATTTATTAATGTATTTGCTAACAATGACAGTGACTATTAGTTATGAAGTATTTATTAGATTCATAACGTGTTATATCCATTTTATATTTATAAACACTTCCATTTAATCTCCATGTCAATGGACAAAACACTATCTGTTAAAGAAGACCACAAATGAAGACCACAAGATGAGGCTGAAAACTCATAGTTTTAAACAAAACTGCTACATTATATTGTGTTATATACTCCGGCCAATAAGTTTGTTATAAATTTTATATAACGGGAACAAAATAAAGTGTGACCTCATTATCACACATAATAAAACAACCAGCTTTATGCTTAAAAAACAAAATCAGGACTTGACCCACTTAACCTCTCAACAAAAAGATGGAGCAGCTCTCTTAATATTCATATTGTATAAATTAGCATTTTAAATCATCTTCCTATTTAATCTCTTTTTTAACTTCCCCCTTTTTTTCGCTAAACCATAAACTCAGTGAGCAGATACTCTTTAACCCTTTGAGGATGTGAATAATATCTGGATCATGCTTCTTGCAACTGGTTCATTCTGCTGCCAACAGTAATAAATTAAACCTTCATTATCTCTGAAGACAAAAGTCTCTGTCCTCTCTGTCTCTACATACTGTGAGCTTTGTGATATACATTTTTCTTAGGTATTTCTAACCACGGGGCATCTCACAGCCAGGGGACACCATCCATCTGTGCCGTAGCCATTTATAATTAATGATTTCCTTCCTCTGTGCCACCTAACTGTGGACAGAGAAACTGATGTTCATTGTTTTCTGTGAAACACACAAAACACAAGTAAACCTCTATCTGAAGTTCACTCGTCTCCAAAATAAGCTGTAGTGAGGAAATAGAGTTTGTTTTCCGGCGTTTTGGATGTTGCTTTGAAACAAGGTCCACTCCTACAGCTCAGGATGATGTTGAGTGTGGGTATAAATAAGTATGTAGGTATGTGGGTGGTTCAGTGGCCACAAGACACATAAGCAAGATGGGATTTTGACCAAAAATAAAGCATTTACAAGTTTGTGTTTACTTCCGCCGTGGCTGACTGCAACCACTATAATGGATCAATCAATCAATAAGTCATCACTCAGCCTTTGTCAGAGCTGCGGTCACCATTGTACAGGACAATCTACTTCTTTAAGAGCTGAGGTAAAGGCAGGGAAGGCGACAGATGTTAACATTAAAGCTCCCATGAGACATTTGTGACGGAAAAGACATTAACATGTTGAAAGCAGAGACTGCAACCTTTTACCCTCTATTAGCACCAGTACACATTTGAAGAAAGACACAACATTATTATGTCCTGCAGAGTCTGAAATTGAGAGTTTGTGAGATCCCTGCCCCGAAATAGCAACTGTCCAATCATATTTTTAAAACGTAACTAATCATTAGCTAATCTGCAAGAAAAAAAATCAACAAAATGAACAGCTGCTTACATGAAATGAGAATCCTGCTTTTGTTTCTCTCAGCAACAGTAACTAGGGCTACATCCATCCGTTTTAGTGACTTTTTAAAACTAAAACATCTCAGTCCATTCATTTTCAGTGCCATCCATTCACACACACTGGTTTCTGCCGGTCCAGACCAAAAAGCAGCTCAGAAGTTTTCCAACTGAAATAGGACCAGCAGCTTTTCCAAAGTTTCTGTTTAAAGGTTTGAAAACTTAAAAGTGTGGACGCCAGACTGATACGAAGCACAAGCACACGCTTTAAAACATAATGGTGCGGATGTGGCCTGGGGTCAGTTTACTGAAGATAAGACCAGGACACAAACACAACACTGCTTCATTAGTGAGTAAGTTTGTGTAAAATGAGGGTTTTCACCTGTGTAGTCCTCAAAGCACTCGCAGGTGTAGCCTCCCTCTCTGCTACGACACACTCCGTGGGCTCCGCAGGGCTTCGAGTAGCAGAGGTCGATCTCCGTCTCGCAGTAGTCTCCCGTGAAGCCGGTGGGACAGCGGCAGCGGAGGCCGGCGATGGGGTGGATGGGTCTGAACAGGATGGTGTCAGATGCAACAAACGGGGCCAGGCTGTCAAACTTCAGCACGGACACACACTTCATGTAGTTCTCACATGGCTCTCGTAGGCAGATGTTGTCGTCGAAGGGAAGAACTTCCTGGGAAGAGATCTGGGCGAGGAGGCTGCGGTTCAAATACAACCTCTCCTGAAGCTCCTCTGAGCCCAAAAACTCGCCACCTCCACTTTCAACCTCTCTCCCGGGCCCGTCCCCGACTTGGCTGAGGCCTCCAGGACGCTGGTGTCCCTCACCAAACACAGGCACGGCCACAGACAAGCTGACATTGAGGATGCGAGCACTGACGTCCGTGTCGTCTTGGATGTTGAAGATGACGACGTCTTCAGGGGCGGCAGAAAGAACGCGGGCAACGCCGTCAAGAAACTGTGCAAGCAGCAGGGAGAGGAAGTGCTCCTGGGAGGTGTTGGCCAGTCTGAGCGTGATACTGTTGGACAGCATCTCATCAGTGATGATGGTGACTTGGAGAAGACACTGGGCCGACACTGAGTGGACGCCATCTGAAAAGACAGACGCAAGAGGAAAAACAGGCAGTTAGCATGAGACAAACAAATGAAACAGACAAGACATACACAAATGATTCTCCTGCACATCCTGACGGGTTCACAGCATTTTAACTACGAAACAGCAGGAAGACTTTCAACCTTATCACATGACCTTCCTCCACCACAGGTTGAGGCTGAGCTTTACTACACCCAGTGTAGTAATATGTGTTTTAATAGTACAACAGTGAATCTTTAGTACACAGGAAAGAGCTTCTTTGTAAACACAGATAACACATTAGTGTATTACATACATTGTTGGTCTGCAGATAAATCCAGATTTTGATTTTGAATCCGCTCCAAATTTCATACACTTACAAATATCAGTCACCTAAAAATACCTGTTATTTGTCATTAATATCCATAAATCATTTTCTTAGAAATCAACTAAACATCATAAAATGCAGGTTGCACCTTATCCAGATCCAATCAAAACTGATTGGTTCTTCCCTCAACCATACCATTTAGTTTCATAATAATCCATCTGGTAGTTTTTGTGTAATCCTAATGACTAACAGACACAAACACAAAGCTCTCCTTGGGGGAGGACCTCTTTATACACTTGAAATAACAGGATGTTTTCTTCCTCCAAAAAGTGCCATCTGATGTGTTGATGAATATAAATCCTATGAAAATCAAAGTCACTGACTGTGGTTGGCACATGGAGCAGCATATTCATGGCAGTGGAGAGTATTTTTCTGTTTTCTCATGTGCAAAAACAGAAGACACGTGTTCTTTCAATAACGTCATCATCTATTTCACACCTCACTTCTTCTTTTCTTGGTCTTGAGGCATAAGAGCTTCTTCATTAGACATGTCACACTGAAAATCTCAATTTCTCAGCCAAGCCAATTTTCTTTTGTCTTGTTATTTTAAAACCAGATCCCGTTGATGTTTTGTTTGTTTTGAATTCTTTGGTTGTGAATCCAGACATTAAATATTTTTCAGTCAACTGTTGTTCAGAAGGTCTTTCAACACATTCATTTACATGTTTGGCTTTTATTTACCACGTCTGATTTCTAATGTAGACTAATGTAAATTATTCTGTTTCATCATGTTGCATCTCACTACGTCTTGCATGATAAACACACATATTCTATGATCTTCATTCAAATAGACTTATGACTTTGCTGAGCTCTCTTATCTCTGCTCACTGAGGAGTAAAATTATAATAAAAGCAGGCTCTGTCCTAAAATGTCCAATCACAAGGAACAAAAAGAAGAAGAGAGTCTTCAATTTACTGCTAACAAGCAGAAATCCTATAGATCTGTGTCTGTTACGGCTGCACTGCTGCTCTAAATCCAGCAGACAAACTCTACAGCAAATGAACATCTAAGTCATCACTACGCCCAGAAACAAGGACGACAAACAGCTTCATTAAATCTCTTTAATATTTTATTTCACTGACTGATCATCTCTCTTTCTACCATCATGAATAATCTCATCTCATCATCTGTGGAGTTTTAAATATCTGGGAAATTTTCAACAATTCATGGCAGAACAGTAAAAAATACTTTAATTCTGAGTATACATTTAAAAAACAAATATTTATTTGAAGAATCAATTATGTGTATATGAGATGTTATTAATTCTTTAAAACCCAAATCGGACAACTTTTTTAATTTTCAAATGTGTACCGTATGTTTGTGTGTAACCATTCAGCTTTTGTGCAACTGTTTATGAAAGGTTTGAATTTGATTTAATTTGCCATGATTTCCTAGAGTCCGGTGACAGACATATTTATTAGGTGATCTGAATTTGACCTTAACAAATGTGGAGAGAAGCCAATAATCTGTTTTTAGAAAAGAACTCTGGCTATGTCTAAAAAATTGGATAAAGGCAGATAAATGTTCTGGAAAATGTCCACAACTGACTCAGACATGTGCGTCCTTATATACAGTCCCTCCTGGACTTCAGCGCTTAAGCAAAAGCAGCTTATTTCAGTCAGTAATGTCAGTTTGAAGGTTTGATACGACTCGTCTTTAATAGACATAAAAGACTGTAGCAGAAATTCCACTGAATAAGAAATAACCACCAGTGTGTTTCCTTATGAATCACAATTTTGGTTTGCAAGTAGTATTGTGTCAGTTTGTCTCACTAACTTGCTCAAGGTCACAAAAGGGAGACTACTATCATTGAGTCTATCTCACCGCTGGCCTGCAGGGTTCTGTAGCCTCGAGAGCAAACACAAAACAGGATTAATCACATCAAATGTGTGATGAAAACAAGCCTCAGTCTCCTCCTCTGCAATAATCAATGGACCGCTTTGTGCTGCGGTGTCTGGACGGTGGCCAAAGAGCAGAACCTGTGCGCAGAACTCACACAAACAAACAGCACTGCCCAAAGTTACCAGATCCCTGTTTGGCACCAGGCGAGTTTAAACACAGAGTGCCAAAGGGGGGGAGGAAAAGGAGGACGAGGGAGGGGTTCATAGAGGAAGTGAGACAGAAGCATGTTTGACACGGCTTTAATCCTTCTGCTTTCAGTCAAGAGCTTCCAGCACAGTAATAATACAGGGCCTTAGCAGAGGAAGTGGAGAAACAAATCAAAGCAGAGACACAAGCAGGGTCGCTACTCTAATTCACACTTTACTGTAAACACACACACAGACAAACACACACACACACCTGTGTACACAAGAAGAGCACTTGCGAGAGAGGAGAACACAAAGACAAAACAATTAAGCGATTTACTAAAACTAGAGATACAACTGATACCACACTATTAAACATTTTCCACGGAGACAACGTTTAAATTATTAATTGATTATCAGAACTGCTGTCCAATAATTAACTTGTCAATTAAAAACTCTACATGGAAACATTGATTTGAAATGTTTTAATTATTATATTTTTAGTGCTTCTGCCAACAACTACTTTCATCAAGGATTCCAACCATCCATCCATTATCTGTGCCACATCTCCTTAGAGGTCTGAGGGGGGAAAGGAGCCAATCCCAGGGGGCATTGGGTGAGAGGTGGGGTAAACCCTGGACAGGTGGCAAGTGTATCACAGGACCAACATACAGAGACATGTTAGTCTTAGTCATACCTTTGATTTATTTGGAGACACTCTGAATGTGGGAGGTCAGAGTGCCTGGAAAAAACAGTGACAAGGAGAAGATCCAAACTCATCACAGGAAGACCCAGGCCGAACCCAGATTTGAATCTAGAGCTGCTTGTGAGGCGACAGCTTTAACCACTGCACCACCGTGCTTCCCACTTATGGATTCATTATCTGAATTAATTGATTCATGGTTTACGTCTACAAAATGTTAAAAAAAAATGGTACAAAGAAAACAAAACACTTACAATTTCCTGCCTGTTGCCATATTTAAATTTGTCTCACCAGCAGCTCAAAACTAAATAATATGAATTGTGTATTTATGATAGAAACCGAAAACCAACAAGCTTAAAGCAGAATTTTGACATTGCATAAAATAAATTACTCAAATAATTTATCAATTCTGAATGTTTCTGCTGATCAACTACTTGATTTACAGGAAGAATTTGGATTTAAAGACAGTGACCTTGATGACCTTGAGTCCTTATATAAGATTGCAATGCGAGCAGCCCTCACCGGAAGGATATTTAAAGCTAAAATAACACACATGCATGCTCTTCTATTTTTATGAGGACAGTCACTGACATAATTCATTCCCTAACCCCTTAACCATTATAGCTAAACACCAACTCTATACCATAATCCTAACCTGAAACTTAAAAAAAAGCCTTTCAAACCATAAAACCAGCCCTTGGAATTTATGTGGACTGACCAAAATGTCCTCTCTCTCTCATGTCTTTAGCTGAAACTGGTCCTCACAAATATAGAAGTACATTTACACACACACAGACACACACACAAAGGGCTTATTGAAATCAAGGTGAGCTCTACATGCAGTTACGATCTGTCTGTGAAACTCTGACAGTTTGACTTCTTATGATCCCAGGTTTTGGACAGAGCAGCATTTAAACCTCTGAGCCTCATGGGAGAGAAACGATCAGATGCTGTGCAGTGAAGCTGGAGTGTTTCTGACACGTTCACAGGTTTGGTGGAGTTCAACATTCAACACTGGGATCCTTTCTAATCGAACAATACTCTTCATCTTAATCATATTATGACTGATACTCCACAGCGACATTAGCAAGAAAAACAGCTCTCAGTGAACAGAGGCTCTCAAAGCATAGGCTATATATGAGGACAGACATTGCCTTAATTATGTCTTCTGCCAATTCACATTCTTGTTTGGGAGCTCGGGCAGAGCTCTGGATCTAGACGCAGCGCTGGGAAACTGAGCGCGAGGAGAATCTCCCCTGAAAGGGACCAGACCATCCTTCAAAGAGGTCATTCTCCACAGAAGGATACTCCGCTCAGTAACGGAGGGTAAGCGGAGTGTTTTGGGCCAAAAAGAAGATAAAGAGGGATGCTTAGTTGGTAACGATACAAGGTGCCAGCTCTGAAGTGTGACACTGCTTTAAACCCAAAGCTTGACCCCCTCTGGGCCTCTGGTGCCAGGAATGCTTTCAGCTAGGAAGTGGCGCCAGGGAAAAGATTAAACACACACTGTGGCTGCAGGACTGCCAAGGCTGTGTACAACATCGTGTGTGTTTGTGTGTGTATATGTGTGTGGGTGGGTGTGGTGATCCATACGTCAATACAAACAGTGTGTACATTGAAGGAGTGGAGGTTTCGCAGAATAGCAGAGTCTGTTTTAAAGATAAGATCACAGTTGTTATTTTAACCTTAAATGTCAGTGATTCAGATGAGGTTTTTGCTTTAGAATTACATAAACTGTGGTGCATCATAATACAAGACTGCACCTGAAAGAATCTGATGCTGCGTTCTTTAAAGGCAAAATACAGAAAGTGGCCAGACATTTTGTGGCGTTTGCTTTTCACATATGAAGAACGCAGTAGCAGATAATCCGGGTCAGACACCTTCACAGCAACAAAAAAATATCCCAAAGGGTCAGGTGGGGGGTGGCACCTGGGTAGATCAGGCATGATATATAAATTCTGCTGTGGAAATCACGTTTCTGTTTACAGCACAGACACCAGCATCGGCCCTTATCACTAAAAGCTAATTGGCTTTCCAAGGTAACATCTCTCTCTCTCTTATAAACTCCAATCATCCAATATGTTAACTCAACATTCAGATAGTCATTGGTCAGTTTCCTAATATAAAACCACACAGATCAACAGAGTCGAGAAATAGACATCGCTGGAAAACTGAGGCATGTGAACAGGATGGATTATTATTGTTTACGGGAAAAAGTCAGGTCATGTTTGGCTGTATGTTGGGGCCACCAGCAGCCAGCAGAAATGATCAGCCAGGAGATTGTGGACAAGAGATGTACTGGTTTTTATCTTTAAAATATTAATAAGGTCCAGTTTCACCCATCAGGAAGTTATGAATAACAAATGCTCCACTGACAAGGTGTTATATAAACACAAAGGGCCTTTAGGATGACATAGATATGATGCTAAAAAGAAACATAACCAAACCAGGATATATGGATTAATTTGAAAACTACTCTGGGTCCCTGCGGCTGGGTGAATTCTCTCTCAGCTGAGAGAAAGAGATAAAGACATAAAGAGCAAATTGGTGAGACCGGCCTAATCAGAGCATAAAGTGACCATCACATCTCCCAGCCGAATCCCAGAAAATGTCAACAAAGTCATGGTGGATAAAGATCAGAAAGACTCTGTGACCAAGTGCTGGGGACAGAGACATCAGCTCCACAGCAGCAGGACGGTAACCCAAGCCTCTCAAGGAATCTCCCACAGGGTCCCCTTCGCTGGTGTAATAACAGTTTATCAATTATTTGGGCTCAGAAAGTTACAAATATTGCGCATTTGTTTTGAATCCATGACTTTGTCGGCACATTAGCTTTGTCCCTGTCTAGGAGCACACAGAGCACATAGCTGTCACCTTCAGAGGACCAAAGGTTAGTGGGCTGCACGTCTTCTAAAGTTGAGACAACCTGCAGTCTCACAGAGAACAAAACTAATGAAATGTGCAATTAGCTCACTCATTACTTGATGCTGTAAATATGGAGTGATTGGTCATGATTGACAGCTGAGACTGACTCGGTAAGGTTGAGCGTGGGCATCGGCGGTAGCTTGCTACTGAATCTCCATTGCTTGATTGCCACTTTGCAGAGTCTTGCACCAGATGCACAAGATGGCAGCGTTTGCATCCAAGCTAATTTGCCTTTGCTTCTGGACAGTGGGAGAAAGTGGAGACCTGTCGTCCATCTTTACACACAGTCTATGGTTCACATACAGACAACAAATTCAAATGAGATCCATATGGTTGGTATTGACTCAAGTGTCTTGTTCAGAGGAACAACAGCAGTAGACTTCTTTCTTGGTCTCTCCGCCTCCTAATATGCAGGTTAAACACCAAAGCAATGAAAACGCCTGCTAGTTGTTGTGGGGAGGGGAAAAACATTAGAGCCACAACACTATAACAACCCCATTTATCATCATGACACTGGAGAGCTGATAAATAATCACACTCCAACAGCTCTCTCAAGCTCTTATTCATCATATACAGTGTATGTCTAATGGTGCCACGTTAAGAAAGGCTACACTTGAACAAAACCACGATGATTCTGTGATCCGCAGCGGCTGATGGTCCCTCGGAGGAAGCCTCCTGTTTCACCGCAGAAGTGTGTCATGTTGGGGGGGAAACTCTGGGTAAGAAGGTAATGAGGTTCAGCAGAGCCTGTCTTAGCTGTTCAGCATCAGTACACTACAGTATGCAGCGCAGCAAGCACAGAGGACTCACAACATCAAAGAAAGCAAAGCCAGGGTCCCGTTTCCAAGATCAATAGGGAGATCATAAATTAAAAATCACTCTGGAGCGATAAGGCTTTGCAGTTCAGAGCCTTTACAGCTCTGCAACTTTTTAATGATGATAAAATAAGCTGTGGAGCTTTACTTCCTGTTTGGCCATTTGTTTCATGATGTTAAAGATCTGATATTCACACTTTTTAAAATTATACTTAAATTATATTAAGAGTCAGATAAGGAGTTAAACATTATCGAGAGTAAAACAGAAGTGAAGCTACACAAATGTAGAAGTGGCCTTTGATGACATCTCACAAGGGATCACATGACCAATCTCATGTATGCTCAAAACAGAAAAACTCAATCATAGAATTTTACTAACATTTGACATATTGTCCCTTCTTTAAAAAGTCCTTATACTTTATTAATTCAGTAAAACATAAAGCATTTGAATTTTTTTGTATCGCTCCTTCCTTTAGGTCTAATCCCCAAAATATATTCTTTGTTCATACATGAAATTGACAGCAATCTAATATATTCATAAGTCATAAATGTTGCTATAGAATACCAGCAAATTGGCTGAAATGGAAACAAGAAGAAAAACTAGTTCTGTTGCACAAGGTACATACAAACATGGGAATATATGGTGCCACAGTTTAGACAATAATGCATTTTCTGCAATCAAATGTATTGATTGTGGATGGGAATAATGAGAATGTGCAGATTTATTTTATTGCTTGCACACAAATGTCAAAATGGGCATCAACTACTTTATTCTGAAATACAGCAGCACACTGCTTCATATAATGTTCAAAACTGATATTTTAGTCTTAAATGGTTTGTGCTCACCTCAGTTTTTGTTCTGCAAAAGTCAATTTAATAGCACTTGTCATAAAAGATGAGATTAATTGCTTTTTTCTTATGTTTTTGAAAAATGAGGGAATTTTACTTTTTATCTTTCACTTCAGTCCATAGTTTCTTCAGTCTGATAAGTAAGGGCCTGGGCTCTGAAACAGGAATAACAGCCATCTCTGTCAGGCCCCTACAGTCACTGCGACACGTAAAAAACAATTTTAATGAGCTGCTACAGTGTGAAAATACTGTCACAAGTGTCATGTTTGCATATTGCTGACAAACACCACACTGGTGAGCCCACACAAGGTCACATTCGTACCACATACCAATCAAACAAACC